CCTTCAATGAATCTCCTGTAATATCCAGCCAAACCCAGGAAACTACGAATCTCAGTCACTATTTTGATGGATCCCATTGTAGAATTGCTTCCACCTTAGTTGGGTCTACTGAAACTCCCTCTTTGGAAATCACATGACCTAAAAATTTCACTTCTTTTAACCAAAATTCACACTTAGACAATTTAGCATACACTTGTTTGTCTTTCAAAATTTGAAGAACAACTTGAAGGTGTTCTACATGATCTTCAAAAGTTTTAGAATAAATAAGAATGTCATCTATAAAAACCACAACAAAATGATCTAAAAATGGACGAAAAATCCTATTCATATAATCCATGAATATTGCAGGAGCATTGGTCACATCAAAAGGCATCACTTGATATTCATAATGACCATACCTAGTTCTAAATGCAGTTTTTTGTACATCTTCTGCCTTTACTCTAATTTGGTGATATCCTGATCTTAAATCTATTTTAGAAAATACAGAAGCTCCTCTTAATTTATCTAACAAATCATCTATTCTTGGAAAAGGGTATTTATTCTTTATGGTGAATTTATTTAACTGACGATAATCTACACATAACCTAAAGCTTCCATCTTTCTTCTTAACTAATAAAACAGGGGCTCCCCAAGGTGATACACTAGGACGAATGAATTGATTCCCAATTAATTCTTCCAATTGTTTCTTCAATTCTGTCAGTTCAGAAGGTGACATCTTATATGGTGCCATAGAAATTGGTCCAGTTCCAAGCATTAAATCTATTGAAAATTCAATCTCTCTGTTGGGTGGTAAACCAGAAATATCATTAGGAAAAACTTCAGGAAAATTTTGAACAACTGCTATTTTTTTCAAATCGACTTCCTCTTTTACTTCCACAAAAGATAGTAACAAATATCCTTGAATTTTGTTCTTCAAAGACTCATTTACTGAGTTGGTAGAGAAATTCAAAAGATTTTCAGAATTCGAAAATATTACTAATTTTTCTGCACAATTTAGAAGGACTTGATTGGAAGATAACTAGTCCATACCCAAGATTACATCCAATTGAGATAAAGGTAGACAAATTAAATTTACAAGGAACTTCCTATTTTTAATGAACAAAGGACAATCTAGACAAATTTTATTCGTGATTACAGACTTACTTGTGGGAGTTGAAACAATCGAACTAGTGTCTAGAAAAGAAGTTGACAATTCAAGGTGTTGGACACAATCATTAGAAATAAATGAATGAGTTGCGCCTGAGTCATACAGTACATTTAAAGTTTTGCATTTAATGAAACACATACCTTGGATCAAATCATTATTCTGAGAGACTTCAGTTTCATTTATGGTATACACTCTTCCTATTGTCGGAGGTCTTCTTTTTGGTGTAGAAGGATCAAAATTTGGTTTTTGTTGCCGATATTCAGAGAATATATGACCATGTTTTCCACACTTGAAGCAGACAAACCCTTTAAGATGACAATCTTTAGCATAATGATCATGTCCGCACTTGAAGCACTTGAGCTGACTATTTACAGGTTTATTAAAACTTCCTACAGAAAATTGGCTGGGTTGAGATCTCCATTGGGGGCGGTTGTAAGGTTTTTCTTCATTTTGTCTCCTTCTATTATGTTGGGGTCTAAAAGATTTTGGTTTACTATTTTGATGGTTTTCAAAATCTTCCAAAAATCTGCATTTATGAATACGCGTAGGAAAATCAGAAATTTCTAGTATTCCTACCGCTTTTCTCAATTCGGGCCTAAGTCCATTCTCAAATTTTATACACTTCATTCTTTCATCAGGGTGATAAAAGAATGAAGAGTATTTTCCTAGATCTTCAAACTTAGAGGCATATTCTCCTACTGTCATACTTCTTTACTTTAATTGCATAAACTCTATTTCTTTCGCTCTTCTCACATCATTGGAAAAATATTTTTCTAAAAATTTTGTTCTAAACACTTCCCAAGTAATTATTATTCTTCCTCCTTCTAGTAATCTCCTAGTACTATCCCACCAATATTCAGTCTCTCCTATCAACATAAACACAACATAATTCACCTTTTGGTCATCAGGATAATTCATAACTTGAAATATTTTTTCTAATTCTTTAATCCATAATTCAGCCTTTTCTGGGTTATAAACTCCAAAAAATTGCAGAGGTTTGTTTCTCCTAAATTCAATTAAACATTGTGAACCATTGGTTCCTTCAGGTCTTTGGTTCCTTAATAATGCAACGGCCATGTCTCGGATAGCTTGTATCGCTTCTGTCAGGTTGTTGTTCCTTCTATTATTTGCCATCTGGAATTATATAAGTTAGGATTCATAAGATATCAGGATATACTCATTTCACAGGTCACACATGAAATGTTGCTCTGATACCATCTAATGTGACATTTTTTTATTTTTTATTTTTTGTATAAGAGTAGCAGGTAAAAAAAAATATTACATATGTGTAAATATTACATATGTGTAAAAGTCATTTACATTACTATATATATATATATATATATATATATATATTAAGATATAAAAAAAGAAGGAATTTTATTTTTGATTCCTTCTATTTTTTCTACAATTTTACAAATATCTATATTGCAGATGGAAACAAACTGATTAAGGGGTTTTGAAAATAGGTAGGAGGCATACAAAAGGTGATTTCTCATATCGGATACAAATGTTATTATTGATAATCTTGTCCTTCTAAAAGTAACCGAGTTGTCTATAACGTTTGTGTTCCAAGTAGTTCCTAGAAAGAAGGCGAGTGATGCTTGCAGAAAAGAGATTTGGAATATTTGGCACCTCCATCTACTTAAGTTGGTGTTTAAATAAAACATGCACAAAATATCATAATATGGAGTGAGAATATTTATCATTTACAATAATACAATCTTATAATATATATATGTTTCAACTTCCTCAACACATTCTATTTTATGAAGATTTAAATTAAATTTGTAGTGACTAGTCAGGATAAATGAGCCCAATTTTAATCACTCTCCCAGTGATATTTACTCATTTAAATCCCCAAGGTCCAACCTCCATCTACAATATCATCAAATCTTCACAAATAGATATTATTATAATTAAATAATATAACTATAAATTAATAAATAGGATCGTTGCATTACTAGAGATAAAATAAAGTAAACAAACAGGACCAGTACATAACTAGAAATAATTAAAATAGGACCAGTGCAAGACTGGAGATAAAGTAAAATTAACAAATAGGACCAGTACATAACTGGAGATAATTAAAATAGGATCAGTGCAAGACTGGAGATAAAATAAACAAGCATAAGGCAGGATCATTACGTAGTTAAAGATAAATAAACAAATAACTAAATAAATAGAATGAGGTTAGGGACACCTCACTCCACAACTATAAGCAAAATAAAATAGATTTAATTATAATATTTTCCTTCTCTACCTTAAGAACTGCAGATGATGTACCAAAATTTTAAAGAGATGACTTATCTTTCTCTTCTTATTTTCCTCTCACTTTCTTTCTTTCTCCCTTTCTTTCCCTCTCTCTTTCTCTTTCTCTTCCTCTCTCTCCTTCCTCTCCCTCTCTTCTTCTCTCTGTTTTTTTTTCTTCTTCCTTTCTCCCTCCCTCCCGTAACCCTTATTTATAATCATAAATAAATAATTATTTTTTTTACTTGCATTTAATGCAAGAGATAGGATAAGATTTTATTATTACTTTTTATTTATTATTTTAATCATTATCTTTTAAAGAGATAAAATAATATTTATCTTTTAAAATATTAAAAATTTACATTAATTTGAGATGTGACATTGAGACTTATATATTTTCTATTGTATCTTTTGCAATAAACACAATTGTATCGTGATTGAACCTAAATAGTTTTTTTCTCAAATACTACAATTATTAAGATTTTTTAAATAATTTTAAATAAAATAGGTAATTTATATATTAATTATAAAATTATTAAAAATTAATTTATAAATAATTATTGAAATTTTAAACCATTTAATAAAATAATTAAAAATAATATTTAAATATTTTTTGAAAGAATTTTTAAACCTCATAAATTTCAAATGATTATAAAATATATTATATTTTGTGATAATTTTTAATTATCAAAATATAATAAATAATCATAAAATAAAAATAAAATTTGAAATAATAAAAAAATATTAAATAAAAATGAGAATAAACATATATTTGTGACCGCTTTCAACGGTTAGTAATTTTTTTTACATAATATTAACATTTAAAAATTATTTATCAAGATAAGTTTTTTTTTTATTCTAGTTTATCCCAATTTTATTGTAACGATTTTCAATCCTATTACATGATCCACTAAATAAATAAATAATTAAATAAATAAATAAATAAATAAATCCTTTCACTGCTCAAATTCCCGACCCTATTTGATAAATTATGATCCTAATTCTACCTCTCAGCTTAAGAGAAGTATTAGACTTAATGAGTTAGATAAGGTTAATTGGCAAAAAAGTGAAATTAATTACAATTTTGTTATCTCGTTTAGTTGGTTAGTTTTTTTATGTATTTATATTTGCGATGAAAACTAGTTATAACGAATTTATATGATATTGACAGTAGAAGATACCTGTTTTGACCCGGATCAAATTTTCCCAAATTTTCCCATGTTTGTAAAAATTGTATGCACTTTCTTTCAATTTTTAAAAATACAAATTCACTATTATAATAATTAAGTATTCTAATAATAATAATAATAACAACTGTATACTAACATTGCAATTACACAACTACTCAAGATTATTTTTAGCTCTTAAATAATTTTTAAATACAACATTTGGGGTTAAAATGTATGTTTTTTTTTAATCTTAAAAAATGATTTATTTTAAATTATAATAAGTAAATTAGTTTTTTTAAAAAGGCATGCAAGTCTCCCAATCCCAATAAAACCATAAAAAAAATTATTTTATTTAATCTCATACAAGGAAGAAAAAATAAATAGTTTTATATTTCATGAAATAATAAAACAATATTTGTTTTTGTCAAATCTACCAATCCAATGATAACCTTTGAGAAAACAAATTATCCTGAAATGAACAAATTCATGTGATGACAAGATCTGTAGTTTGGTGTGACAATTCTAGGAACCACCCCCACGCATTTGATCCTCAAATTGCGGGTACTTATTTGTTGTTACAAAGTTAAGACTTAAGACCACACACACCATGCCATACCACAACCACATCACCCCTTTTATGTCATCCTTTGACAAAATAAAGGATCATTCATTGTCTACTTTGAATGAATGATGGATCTAATTATGACCATCCTATCATGTTTGATATGTTTAGTTTGAATGATGATTTAAGAACATTCTATATATTTTTTTTATTAAAAAACAACAAATCCTTTTATATGTGAAAATGATTTTCTTCATAAATGTCCTTTGAAGGTAATCAATCATCTTAAACAAGGATTATTGCATCCATTAATGAACCTCCTTTAAAGGTCTAAACCATGGAGCATCAAATTCAAATGGGAATATGTTTGATGATAGTGGAAGGCTACTTTATTCCTTCCTTACTACTCTCTTTATCTTTCACCTTACTACTCACATCTAATATCTAATACCACACTTTCATTTTTATTTCTCATGTTTTGCACCAAAAACGAATCAACTTTTCTCTTCCTTTTTCTTCAACTCTCTCTCAAGTTTTCCACTTTATTTGATTTTTCTTCTCCCTTTTCCAACACTGTCCTTCGTTGCCTCATAAGTTTTGCAAAGAAAATGTGCAAAGAAAAAAAATTACAATAATAAAAATAAATTTGACAAGATCGGTAAAAAATTTGGACAGATGGATCTGAATATTATTTATCATTTTAAAATCTATTGGTCACTTCTATTGAATGTTAAAAAAAAAATTGAAATTTATCTGTATCATGATAATAATTTATATTTATTTAATATTAAATATTATCTCTCTAATATAATATTATATATGAATAAGTAATTAAATATATTACTTTTGTATTATTATCATAATACATATTAATATAAAATATTTTTATTTTATAATAAATATAAAGTATTTTTTAAGTATATTGATTATTAAAATTATACCACTAATTTAATTAATTTACTGTGAAGTTCGTAAATGAAAGTCTCACTTATTTATCGTATAAAAATATGTATTTATTAACGTATTAGTTAATCCATGCAAATTTATTCATTGGTGAGAGTTTATCTATTGAATTGGAAGTAGTGTAATTAAAGGATTTTTTTTCTAGTCCTGCAAATTTTTTTTAAATATATCTTTTGTTATTTTATTGTCAAATCAATGGATTTAATTCCTAGATTTTTTAAACTATGTAACTTTTTTAGTAATTTTTATACCTAAATGTTTTTTACCATTATAAAGTTAATGAATGATTTACGTATTTTTAAAGTTTAAGATTAATTAGTAATTTGTAAAATATATTAATCACATAAGTTTGATAAAATAAATAAAAATAAAAACATATTTAACCCGTATATAATTACCATTTAAACTATTTTAAAAATATTTCTAAAACAAATTTTAAAATTACAATATTATTAATTAGAATTTAGCTATTTGATTATTTTGTATATAAATTATTTTATTTATGTATAGAATTGATATATAAAAAGGAAAAAAATGAGTTTAGATTCTCTAAAAAAATTTAAATTAATTTATACATAAATTAATTTGTAAATTTTCTTTTCCATATTATAATCCAAATTTTTTATTTTTTATTTATCTGTAAATTACTTTTAAAATATAATTTTTTTCAAAAATATCGACAGACATAATAGATTAATTAACCAAATTTCCACCTTTTTTATTAGATAACACCACAAGCATTCGCAAAATTAAATATATGCATAACATCCCCAAATAATATTTAAATATTTTGTTTGAACAATTCAAATAATCAATAAAAAAACTTATAATAATATTATATAATATTATTTTGGAGGTTTTATTAATAGATTGATTTTATAAATAATCATTGTTCATTCACAAAATATTCTATTTTTCAGAAAAAAAAATGGTTTAGAGATAGAATCACAAAATTAATCTTAAAAAATGATTATGTATAAATATTTTAAAAAATTCATAATATATTTTTAATAAAATCTTAAGAAAGTTATTTAAAGAAAAAACAAAAAAAAAACCAAAAAAGTATTGAATATAAAAAGTCAATTATATCCTAAAAATAGTTCAAAATATTTTAGAAAAGGAACGCTTTCACTTACATCTTCATTACTGATAGAAATTAACAAAACAAATGAAAACAAAACTTATAACTCATTGAATTCCTTCTGTTGGGAAAGCTTATAAAATTGTAACAAATACACGAAAAAAAGGAGTCATTTGAAAAATAACTTTTGGTGAAGTGTGTGGTGTACATTAGAAAAGAGAAAGTGTGAAGGCATTTAGGCTACTTGTCGGACACTGACGTTCTGTTCTACATGTAGTACTTGTCTTTTAGAATCAAAAGATTGAATTCTTTTTTTTTTAATTTCTTATATTTTTTTCTTAATTTATAAAAAAAATATAGTAAATTTAAAGAGAAATAAAAAGACAATAAAAAATTAAAAGATTAGTAAAAATTATACTCGCACCATTTTCTCATAAATATTATTTTTTAAATACAAAGAAATAGTAGTCATTAGTATATGAAAATGTTATTTTGTCACGAGAAGTTAAAAATTAATGATATTTTCAATAACATTTGTGATAAACAAGATTATTAGACTCGAGAAGTTATGTAAACTTGTGAAAGATAGGTAAGTTTGACTTATAAACTTGTAAGAATCAATTTCATATAAAAAAAATATCATTTTATCAAAAAGTATAAACATGACAATATTAATTACATATTACTAAAATTAATAAGTTCATATAATAATAAATTGATTAAATATAAATTTTTAAAGTGATAAAATAAGAATTAAATAATTAAGAAACATAAATATTATTAAATTTATATGACTTATGAAGAATTTGAACTAGTCCCAAATATTTTCAAATTTCAATATTTATATATAAAATAACTAAAATAAAAAAATTTAATTCAACCCCTGTGCAACAAAATAACCAAACTAAAAAAAATTAATTAAAAACAAAACCCCTAAAATCCCTAATCTATGAGAAGAAAAGCTTAAAATCTTAAATCTCAATCTAAGTCTGTGCAACAATCTACCAACGAACCACCATCGATCAACCGGAGCGAGTGGCGATCGGCAAGAGCAACAACGAGCGAGCATGACCAACGATGAAAAATGACCAACGCAACCAACGAACAACGAAGCGCAGCGACGATGACGGCTAGCGAGCATAAAGAAGAGTACAACAATGAGCAATGAGAAGGGACGAGGTGTGTGAGTAGTGAGAAGAGATGTAACTTGTAAGTGTTTCTTTCCTCCAAGCTTGGTGACTCGCCTCTCACCCATGAGTTTGCTTAGAATTCACCAAGTTTAAGTTCGAATTTACTATAAAACAAGTGTCCTCACGAATTAACTCGTGATCAATCACTAGACTCACTAACTCGTTCGAGTCAGCGAGTTTGGTAACCATGATCATGGCAAAGATAGCCAATTGTAGAAAGGAAACATATTTAAAATTTTAAGTTTTAGGTTAATTATTCACGATACTATTTTTACATTTTGTAGATTTTTTTAAAATTGTCTAAAAGTAAATTCAAATTTTTATTTGATTCTAATTATACTTTTAGTTATATATAAAAACTATTTATTTTACTTTGTTTATTGAATTATGTCCTTAAATCTATAATAGTTAACTATCTCAAATTTAATTTAAAAATAAAATATGTTTAGTTAGTTAGAAAATTATATAAATAAAGGTTTAAATTGTTTTATTTTAAAAAAAAATTGTCCGACTACAAATTAAATTTCTCAATGTTCTTTATAAAAGTTAAGTGTGAGACTTAAAAGAACCTATGTTGGAATTAAGGTCCAAAAGTTGCACTGAGGAAGTTGAAGTAGTTAAGAGTTAATTTGGGTTAAATCTTTTCTTAATTATTTCTAATTTAAGGAGCATGGGGTGTTATCAAAGAATTAGAAGAAAAGACTAAAATAAAATTTAGAGAAGTTAGATTTTGGGGATATTCAATTAAAAAAAAGTTAATTATTCAAAGAATAAAATGCTATAATTGAAAATATATGCATATTAGAATGTTGGATGCTAGTAAACATGTATGCTTAGTTATTTTAAGGTGACAGTACATTATTTTATGCATAAATTTGGTATGGATAGTTTATATTAGTGATTATTAAGGTTGGAATACTTGAAACTGGGTCAAATCCCTTTCTTGTGACTCTTTTCACTAAAGTGAAGTGTTGGTAGCTTGAGCGACAGGTCAAACAGTGAAAAAAGTTAGTTAAACGATGACAATTTGCTTAAGCGATGAGTTGTCGTTCAGGTGAGGAACAAACTAATGGATGTTTTTTTTTTTTTCAGAAGTACTTCATTCAAGTGAGAATGATAACACTCAAAAGAAGTTATCTTATCATCAGTGGAGAATGATCTTCTAAGTCAGATTAAAGAAGGTAAATTTTGGCAGCCTTTGGAAGAGAAAATTATTTGGCATATTTATTGAGTTATCTTAGTGAAATTATAATTCTTATTTCATTCACTATTGGATCGAGCTGAAACTTTGACAACAAGTTTGCAGCATATGATTTTTCATTTTAACCGTTGGGATCATCAATTAGAGATATTTAATTGGAGAAATCAATCTCACATTGTGGCTATATTTTAAGTTTTTCTTTATTATTCAAATTTGAAAGCATTATTACTTTGATATATTGGCTATTTGTAGGCACTTAGTTTGTGCATTTGATTTAACTATCTTATACCCATATTTGATCTTAATAGAGTTTGATTGAGTGACTTGTACCTGTGGGTAAAATTATTGGTGTTCTCTTTTGTGATTATTCTTGTTATTATCTAATGGTTTTCATCACAAATTCTTGCATGTTTTGGGAAATTATTTTTGGTGCATACTTTGGTATTTTTGGTTGTGTTGTTGTTTTCCCTATCAGAGTGGCATCCAAGTTAATAATTGAGGAAAATACAAAAATGGTTATTTTAAATGAATCAAATTATCATTTGTAGAATAGAAAAATGAAGGACTTGTTGTTTGTAAAGAAATTACATCTTCTAGTCTTTGCTACGCAAAAGTCGAATTCTATATTTTATGAAGAATGAAACTTTAAGCACCAACATATGTGTGGTTTTATTCGACAATATGTAGAAGACAATGTTTATAATCACATCGTTAATGAGACACATGCTAGAACTTTGTGGAAGAAGATTGAGCCCTTGTATGCTTCTAAGTCAGACAATAACAAATTATATTCGTTGTTGCTTGATGAATTTGAGGTATAGGGAAAGTTCTTCCATTTTAGATCACTTAAATAAGTTTCAAGGATTCCTAAATCAATTGTCAGGAATGGGTATCGACTTTGATGATGAAGTTTTGAGACTATGACTACTGAATGCTCTACTAGAGTCTTGGAAGATATTTCAAAATTTTAATTACAAACTCAGTCCCTAATGACATTATTTCTTTCCAAATGACAAAAAGTGATGCTTTCAATGAAGAAATGAGAAGGAAGGCACATGATGGGAGAAGTAAGAAAAAGGAATCAAATGATGGTATATAGAAAAGCATGAGCAACTCCAAGTCAAGATACTAAAATGTAGAGTATCATTATTGTAATAAACCTAGGCACATTAACAAATAATGTTTTAAGTGGAAAAAGGAGAAAAAAGGCAAGAAAGGCAAGAAGAAAGAGAATGATCATGTTACTACTACTACATGTGATGATCTTGTTCTTCTTTGTATCTATGAGTCAATCGATCTTGTATCTAATGAGAGTATGTGGATAATTAATAGTGGTATTACATTGCACGTTACACCGAGAAAGAAATTCTTTACGTATTACACTTTTGATGATTTTGGTGTGTTAAAGATGGGTAATGATAGTGCATCAAAGATTGTTGGTGTTGGTGATGTTTGCTTGAAAATAAACTTGGGAGTGTAGTTATTACTTAAATACACAAACATGCTCCAGATGTGCATTTTAATCTAATCTTTGTGCATATGCTTGATGATTGTAGTTATGGCAATCACTTTGATTTTGATAAATGGAAGCTCACTAAAAGTAACTTGGTCATGACTAGAGGGCAGAAAAATTATGAATTGTATTGGACTAAAGCTTTGGTTGCTAAGGACAATGTGAGCGTTAGTATATGGAGGCATCTTTATGGCACTGAAGGCTTGGTCATATAAGTGAAAAATGGCTTAACTACTTAGCTAAAAAGGATATGATTTTGGGATTGAAGAGTGAAAAGTTGGAGAAATGTTCACATTGTATGGCTAGTAAACAGACCAGGGTATCTTTTAAGAAGCATCCTCCCTAAAGGAAGTTAGAGTTGCATGAATTAGTGCATTTTGATGTTTGTAGCCCATTAAATGTAAAGTCATTTAGTGGTGCATTTTACTTTGTCACTATTATTGATGATTGTTCCAGGAAACTATGAGTCTATACACTATAGAGAAATAATTAAGTACTTGAAAAGTTCAAATAATTTCATGCTTTGGTTGAGAGACAATCAAACAAAAACCTGAAATGCATTTGTATTGATAATGGTGGTGAGTATCGTGGACCCTTTGATGTCTATTGCAAGCAACAAGATATTAGACATGAAAATGCTCCTCCTAAAACTCCTCAATTGAATGGTTTAGCATAAATGATGAATAGGGCTTTGGTTGAAATAGTTAGATATATGATTTCTGAATAAAGGAAGTTAGAGTTGCATGAATTAGTGCATTTTGATGTTTGTGGCCCATTAAAGGTAAAGTCATCTAGTTCTGCATTTTACTTTGTCACTATTATTGATGATCATTCCAGGAAACTATGAGTCTATACACTATAGAGAAATAATTAAGTACTTGAAAAGTTCAAATAATTTCATGCTTTGGTTGAGAGATAATCAAACAAAACTTGGAATGCATTTGTATTGATAATGGTGGTGAGTATTGTGGACCCTTTGATGTCTATTGCAAGCAATAAGATATTATACATGAAAATGCTCCTCCTAAAACTCCTCAATTGAATGGTTTAGCATAGATGATGAATAGGGCTTTGGTTGAAAGAGTTAGATATATGCTTCCTGAAGAGAAATTGCCTAAGCATTGTTGTGGAGAAGCATTGCTTGCAATTATGCATGTTATTAATCTTAGTTTTGCACTTACTTTGAATACTGAGGTATCAGACAAAATCTGGTTTGACAATAATGTTAGCTATGATCATTTGCATGTCTTTGGTTATAAAGCATTTGTTTATCTTCTGAAGGATGAAAGATCCAAGTTAGATGAAAAGAAAAGGCAGTGTATCTTTATTGGTTATGGTCAGGATGAATTTGCCTACAAGTTGTATGACCCTATTAAGAAGAGGTTAGTAAAAAGTCGTGATGTGCAGTTCATGGAAGATCAGACCATTGAAGATGTTAACAAGTTGGAGAAGACTACACCCGAGGAACATAGTAACTTCATTGACGATAATCCGATATAGTTGCTTGTTTATACTCTGAATAATGTTGAGACTGATGCTTAAAATGATGAGCAACATGGTGATGTTGATGATCAATAGGTAGGAGATGGAGTAGAGATTTTGATTGATAATGATCAAGAGGAACATGATATGGTACATCATGATGATCATGTTGATACACCTGAATTACAACAAGTCCCTACCAAGAGGTTTAACAGGCTAAGAAAACTGTCATTCAGGTATTCTTCTCATGAGTATGTAACCTTGATTGATGGTGAAGAACCTAAGTATTTTGATTGATAATGCTTAAGAGGAACATGATATAGGTTCAACAAGATAAGAAAATTGTCTGAAATTCAGGTATTCTTCTCATGAGTACATAACCTTGACTGATAGTGAAGAACTTGAGTATTTTGATTGATAATGCTGAAGAGGAACATGATATGGTATATCATGATGATCATGTTGATACACCTGAATTACAACAAGTCCCTACCAAGAGGTTCAAATGGTTGAGAAAACTCTCATGAGTACGTAACCTTGAGTGATGGTGAAGAACCTGAGTATTTTGAAGAAGTTGTGGAAAGTGAAGAAAAATAAAAGTTATTGATGCAATGCAAGATGAGATAAAATCTTTGCATCATAATCACACTAATGACTTAGTAAAATTGCCTAAGAGGAAAATAACTTTAGAGAACAAATGAATTTTCAAGGTGAGGTAAGAGGATAATTCTACATCTCCAAAAT